CTTTTTTCTTTTCTCCCTACTCTCCTCTCATTTCAATATATCACTTCCGTTAAGTTAACCATCTAAATAGGTCAATGTCTGGTCACTCCTCCTCCCCCAGTACTAACTATACTTGAGAGAGATATGAAATTAATCCCTCTCTATACTCTATCATGTCTCTTTAACTATCCCTCTTACACTCTCTGTTAAATTACAAAAACTTACACTACCCATCAATTTTAATTTCATTTTTCGTTTCATTTCATTTTTGGAAGTGCTATCTGATGATCCGGCGTCCTTTAAAAGGACTCTGGTGAAATAAATTATTATAATGGTACCTTAAAGTGGTCTGTTTTTTTCTTTTAAATTTATATATATATATATATATATATATATATATATATATATATATATATATATATATATATGTGTGTGTGTGTCACGAAATAATCAAGCAATTATTATGGCTTTTCAGACACTTTTAATGAGAATTTCTGGCTCTCCAGTTTCGAGATTCAGACACTCCAGTTTTCTACCGGTCGTGTTTCTTGCTGATGTTGATTATTCGTTCAATTCGTTACGATAATCGATCAGTCTATCAGTTTGGTGCACGACGCAGGGAATGACGAATGTCTTTCGAGAAGATTTGCTCAGATTTTAAAGAACTGGAATGGAGATGGTGAAAAAAATTAATAATACGGATGTTGGAAACTAAAAGCTTTTATCTTGTTATCGTGTAATCTCGCGTGATATTGCGATATCTGTCGCAAAAGAGAGCAAATATGGCTGTTAAAAGGCCAAACGACAAAAAGTAAGCGTCTTAACATTCATAATAGTCAGATGCACTTCATTGAGTGGTAGAAAAATATATATATATATATATATATATATATATATATATATATATATATATATATATATGTGTGTGTGTGTGTGTGTGTGTGTTTGTTTGTTTGTTTGGATATGTAAATATTCTCAGATGTAGTGTATCTAAAGAAGAAACAAAATGAACAAAAAGAGACAAGAGGAAAACCTATACCTTGCCGATCCGTTTTGTCCTCTCAGGGACTCAGTGCATTGATAAATCCTTCAGAGTACAAAACCGCGTTGGCTAAAATATATATATATATATATATATATATATATATATATATATATATATATATATATATATATGTGTGTGTGTGTGTGTGTGTGGTCAGGGGTTTTCAACAGAGGGTCGGCTTTTAGGCGTTGGGTGTCGCTTTTAAGATTTTTACGCACTAAAATTAGTTCAGATCATTTTCACAAAGGAGAATGATACTTTTGCATAGATGGAAAGATTTTCCAGCTTTCCTTGTCATTATACATGTACATAGATATGAAAAGACTTACATATATATATATATATATATATATATATATATATATATATATATATATTCTTTAATTATGAATATATATATTCTTTAATTACATATATATATAATTAAAGAATACATATATATATATATATATATTCTTTTATATATATATATATATATATATATATATATATATATGAAGAAAATTTTGAAAAAACAAACAAAAATTTTAACAAACTTTTAGGAATACGTTATGAAAGCGTCACCCATGTGACGACGGCGTGACCATGTTAGACGGAAGGCTGATCATTTTAAAAATTTTCAGTTATCTGTTTTGAATAAGACTTGTGTTTTTATGTCCATCGTCTTTGTTAAATTGAACTGAATTGTATTTTAATGAATATTGTCTTGAAAAAGGTTTATTAAACCGAAACGTCAGACGTCGACATTTCTTTCATTTTAACTACATTTAAGGATTTTTGTTTGTTTTTTCAAAATTTTTCTTCATTCTGTCGGATTTATATCCATTTACACTTGCTTATATATATATATATATATATATATATATATATATATATATATATATATATATATATTGTTTAAAACTGAACCAATGGGTGGACTGTTCAAAAGAAGAACTTATGTAGATTAATCACTGAAAATGAAAACAAACATGGTTGTTTATATATATATATATATATATATATATATATATATATATAATAAAAAGGCTTAGACACTAACCATGGAATATTAATATTAATATTAGTGTTTTTTTTTATTATATCCTTATTCTGTCCTGGACATTGAGTTCTACCTGGATTCTATCCTCTCGAAATTTTTTATTCAAAAAATATACATATATGTCTAAGCACCTATCTATATATATATATCTATATTTTATATATTTTGTATTTTATGTGATATTTTATATATATATATATATATATATATATATATATATATATATATATATATATGTATGTATTTGCACATGGCTCTTCACATGATCCTCTCATTTTCAGCGTTTACGGATGTCTCTAATTTATCATCCATTTCTTCTGTCCGCTCGGTAGATATATTACTCGCCTTTTCCGATTGGCCATATTGTCTTAAATATGTATTGTGTCTGTCCATTTCTACAAACTCTCTTTCCTCATATTATCTGAAAGCGCCAATCGTCTCTTTCTTATTTCCAATAGAGACATCTTTATATAAAAGCGCTAAGAAGAAAGTTTGGACGAACATACGGTTTATAGTTTGATATGTGGAACCACAGAAAAGAAATGTAGATGTGCTGCTTCCATGAGACCAAATTTGATTTTTGATTGTGTCATTTCAAACATTCGACAATACCCATTGATACAATAAAAAAAGGAATATCCTACAGTAGCCTGAAAGTCTTTAATAGTTTTATTGCAATTTTCTACTTCTTATTCACGTGAATTAGGCGTCTAAACTCTAAATAACATCATAAATAAGAAGCTGCAAAATCTACGTTCAACTAAAGAAGTAATGGGGGTCTGCTTATCGCACATTCCACCAAACATTGAAGAAATCGCGAAAAAACATCAAATATGTTATATATATATATATATGTGTGTGTGTGTGTGTGTGTGTGTGTGTGTGTGTGCGTGTGTGAATTAGGTTTCTCAAATCTAAAGAACATCATAAATAAGAAGCGAGAAAGACTACTCTCAACTGAAAAACAAATGAGGGTCTGCTTATCGCATATTCGACCAAACATTGAAGAAATACCAAAAACGCACCAGACACCATTTTCACACGAAATAAGCTGCACAAATAGTTGAATAGAAACATAAAGTTCATATTTGAGTTTATATTTTTTTAAAATCTATGGCTTTATTCAATAACATTTAAATGTCTACACTTTAAATATTTTGCTAAGTGTGTCGTGGTATTTTCATCTCTTTCCTCGGGGTGTCGTTTCTTAAAAAAGTTGAGAAACACTAATTTAAATAAAAGATTATATGAACATAAAAGGAACATTTTGCAAAACAACACATCAAATGTGTTGGTTGACCACCGTAACGAGACTGACCGCAATTTTGACAAAAAAATGATACTCTGATTAAAGTAGAAAATAATTTACTACGGAGAAAATATTTAGGAAGTGCTTTGATCGCAAATCGCAAGGTCATGCAAAATAAATTTGAGTCATGGTTCTTACGACATTTCACTGTTCCTGGCAGAACTTCTATTATCACAGCGTGGGATATCAATAACAAATGTGATGAAAAAAAGGAAAAAAAAAACAAAAAAAGAATCTAAATGAAATCGGTTAGATTATATAGCCAAAAAATAAATAAATAAATTTAAATTTCCCAGCATCTCTCGTTCGTGCACATGTGTAGTCGCGGCAACATAACAAATTTAGTCCGATGAAATAGTAGAATAGAAACATAAATAATGTTCATATATGAGTGTGTATTTTTAAAATATATATATATTTGCTCCGTTGCTTAAAATGGTTGAGAAAAACTGATCTAGTTACAATCTTGATTATAGGCACAAATTAATTTTCATCATTTTAAATATGGAAGACGCAAAGTGTTATTCCTGTAAAACAAAAAAAAGAAGAGTTTTAAACAAAAACATTCGGAAACAATTCGACAATTTTTTTTTACTTACTTGTATTTTTTAAGGTAATTGATTTTTATTTATGAATCCGATACATGTTTTGTCACTTTAAAACTTATTTCCAGTGAATATACATATTTGAGTAGAATTGACATTTATTTATTAAACGGTATTTTGACAAGTCCGCAGTTGAGCCAGGATCCGTCGCCCGGGACGCAGAGATGAAAAAAATAGTTAAATATTCTTCTCTTGCTGATAGATTTTTTTTATTGGCCCTCATTCGATGGCGTTCCTTCGGAGGATTGGCGCGATTGCGTCTCGATTAAGGGACGATCCTCGCGAAACGGAGTGGCTCTTGCATCATGTCTCACTGGCGATGATTCGAGGTAATGTTTTCTCCATCATTACTGCTGGCAGAGGTTAGAAAAAATTGTTTCTTGTTACGTTGTTCTGGAATTGTCATCAGTGATCAACTGTACTTGTTTTGTTTCAATAAATTTTATTTTTAAATATTAAAAAAAAATAATATATTTATGTTCGTCTAACGACCTGAATACTCAAGAAATGATATTAAAGAACAATACAAGTTATTTGTATACTTCTAAAATCCATTATATTTACAAGTCACAGCCAGTAGACGATTGCACTTATTAGATCATATTAACGTACTCAACCGAAACGATCTGCTTTTATTGTAACCCGTTAAACTGTTTTATGTGTCATCATGGCGTCGTTTTATCATTATTATGGCTTCAGTATTATTTCCATTGTTACACTCGTTGCCTTTATGCTCGAGGAGAATACATTGGGGCTATTATTATTATTATTATTATTATTATTGTTATTTATTTACTTATTTATTTATTTAGGTATTTATTGTCGCTAAGATCATTTGAGCCATCAGTCGATCAACACGTCGTCCATTTTTCCCATGGGCCTTCAGGATCACTCAGAGTATTTCCCGCGCGATTGCAACTAGCAGACGATACAAAAACGACGTCCGGGATCAACAAGTCTGTTTCATTTTGCCACGGCATGGAGACATATGCCATTAATCATAGTTAATATCATATTTAGCTTCGATTCCAGTGGCCAGTCACTCCTATCTCTCTTTGCCGCTCTCTCCCTTTCTCTCTCCCACTCTCTCTCTCTCTCACTTTCGTTCTTTCTTTCTTTCAGTTTTTGCTCGTCTCATCTATTTTCTTTTCTTCTGTTATATTTGTTCTTTTCTTTCTTTCATTCTTTCTTTCTTTCTTTCTTTCTTTCTTTCTTTCTTTCTTTGACTTTCTGTTCGTCTCTTTCTCTTTTCTTTTTATTTGTTATATTTCTAATTTCTCTTTCTTTCTTTCTTTCTTTCTTTCTTTGACTTTCTGTTCACCTCTTTCTCTTTTCTTTTTTTTGTTATATTTCTAATTTTTCTTTCTTTCTTTCTTTCTTTCTTTCTTTCTTTATTTCTTTCTTTCTTTCTTTCTTTTCTTTGACTTTTCTGTTCGTCTCTTTCTCTTTTCTTTTTTTTGGTATATTTCTAATTTTTCTTTCTTTCTTTCTTTCTTTCTTTCTTTCTTTCTTTCTTTCTTTCTTTCTTTGACTTTCTGTTCGCCTCTTTCTCTTTTCTTTTTTTGTTATATTTCTAATTTTTCTTTCTTTCTTTCTTTCTTTCTTTCTTTCTTTATTTCTTTCTTTCTTTCTTTCTTTCTTTGACTTTCTGTTCGTCTCTTTCTCTTTTCTTTTTTTTGTTATATTTCTAATTTTTCTTTCTTTCTTTCTTTCTTTCTTTCTTTCTTTGACTTTCTGTTCGTCTCTTTCTCTTTTCTTTTTTTGTTATATTTCTAATTTTTCTTTCTTTCTTTCTTTCTTTCTTTCTTTCTTTCTTTCTTTCTTTGACTTTCTGTTCACCTCTTTCTCTTTTCTTTTTTTTGTTATATTTCTAATTTTTCTTTCTTTCTTTCTTTCTTTCTTTCTTTCTTTCTTTCTTTCTTTCTTTGTTTCCGTGATGGGTCTGAGGCCGTCGCCAACAAATTCGGGAGTTCTTTTCTTATCAGAACGATCAGAGTTTTCCGAGCGGTCATACCTTCTTAATAATCATTAGATATGATATATATTTTTTTTTACTTTGTTTCTTACCTCTGATTTTTTTTTTCCATTTCACTATTTCTTTCTTTTTCTCTTCCTCTCTTTCTTTCTTTTACTTTTTGTTAATCTGTTCTTCTTTGCTTTTTCTGTTATGCTTCTGATTCTTTCTTTCCTTCCTTCCTTCTTTCTTTCCTTCCTTCCTTATTTCTGTCTTTCTTTTTGATTTTTTCTTTCCCTCATTGTATCTCATTTAACTTTTTCTCTTCTCCTCACTCTTTATATCTTACCCCAAATTTTCTTTCTTTCTCTCCTTTACTTAGTTTTGTAAATTGGCATTTATTTTTTTATTTCACATTGCATATTAACTTGTATCCGTTTTCGCAGATTTTACAAGTACACAAAATAGTATATTTTCCACCCTCAAGTAATAAAAAAGCATTTCAAAATTATGTCTATTTTTAGTCAAATGCTTAACTTCTGTCTGGGATTATTTTCTCTCACGAGTTTATATTTACATATTCCGCATTTTATGGGATAAAGTGCATTGACAAAGCTTAGATAACTGCCTGTAAACTAAAACGTAATGGAGGTCAAGGGTACTCGCTGGGGTGGGGAGTACAAACATGTATTTTGCCATCCTAGCGTATCAATAAGTCCCTGAAGCATATTACCTTTGTTGAATTATTTTGTGAAGCCCTAAATTTATATTCCCATATAAAAAGAATTACTGGTTATTATGTGACGCGTTTGACCTTAAGATCTACAGTCTGCGATGAATAAATTTTCTTTTAAATGACGCAAAAATCAAAATAACACAGCCATATCATGTCAGCAGATATATTTACCAAAATTACACAAAGATATCTCGAAATACTAAAGAGTAAATTTTATTCAATAAAATCGCCATTGGTTTCAACAACAGTCTCTAGACGACTTCGGAATCTCCTGCAGCTCTTCTGTATGGTCACCTTTTTTAAGGTGTTGAATGCTGCCATAATCCTTGCCTTCAGTTCATCTTTTTATGCTAAAAATGTTTTGTTGGTCTCTCACTCAATTGCGTGCCACGCATAATAATCAAGTGTGTTGCAATTAGGTGGCCAGATGTAAGGGTTGATGTGATCGCAGAAATGTGACAGCCATGACTGAATTCTTGTGTTTGTATGGCATGGTGCAGAGTCCTGTTGTCTGACATAGGATCTTCCAGCAGCCACGCCTTTTACCCAGGGCAGTACTACTTCCTCAAAGCACTTTATGTCAGACTCCGTGATGGGTCTGAGGCCGTCGCCAACAAATTCGGGAGTTCTTTTCTTATCAGAACGATCAGAGTTTTCCGAGCGGTCATACCTTCTTAATCATCATTAGACTCATCCAACTCTTTCCTAATCTACTGCACTTGCCTTAGGTTGACACCAAAACACTCTGAAATGTTCGCATTGGAGTTTCCGGCAGGAATACCAAAAAGTATAGCATGCCATGTCCAAATTTTTGGCGAAGTGAATTGCGTCGGGATACCCCTTTTTCTCACTGATGCTGCTTCTTGTTTAAAAATGTTCTGACATGTTATCCAAAACTAAGAATCTCTTGTTGACAGATATGATTTTTTTTTTAATAATTACACACCAAGTAAGGTAGTAAAACCACTAAGACACGTGAGGTTACTGAGAGTGAAAGAATATAAAAAAAAGAGAAACATTATTAAGAAGCGAGCTAGAAAAAAAAAGGAATCACGAAGACAAAAGATAGTGATTGATATTGCATTCGCATTTTTGAAGATCAAAATTGGTTGGAATATAAGGAACCGGATGATATTTGCACAAGTGCGAGAGAAGAAACTGTTAGGATAGAACATGCGGTTAAATGTAGCCAAATAAAGTGTAAACTGATAGGACCCTCTGTGTAGTTTTGTTCTGAGCTTAGTTTCATAAAATCTAAGTAGCAAATAGGAAAGTAATAATTATTCTGAAAATACAAAAATGTGGGACAATCCCAAAAGAGTGAAACAGGGGAGGATAGTATTCATTCTTTATCTTAAATTTAGCTAGTCACAATTACTGACCTAACATACCACAATATTCTTTACACCAAAACAAAACATTCTTACTTACAATTTTTACTACAGTTACCATAATACCTCATAGTCTCTATGAAGTCCTAACTTGTTCTCATATGTACTATTTGTCTGTTAGAATGAGGAAATCAATTAATATTATTCAAAAATGAAACCCAATGAATATTTTACTATCATAATTTAATTCATCAGAACAATTACCTTGAAAGTATTTATAGAAAAGGCACAAGGAAACTACATTACAACGGTGGGAAAATGACTGAAGCCGAGATGCCAGAATATAACCAATGACATTGCCGATTTTACGTTTTTATTTTATCGAGAATGACGTGCATTAAAAGAATTACTTAATTTTTGCTATACTAATTCATTTTTACCTTTTTGTCAAACACGTCTGTCCTTTTGCATTTTTAAAAATTATTTTTCCTTTTTCTTACTTTCTTTTTTATTGAGCCTTTTTTTATCATCGCCATCTATAGCTGCTGTTTCTTTTTCATCGCCGTCTATAGCTGCTGTTTCTTTTTCATCGCCTTCTATATCTGCTGTTTCTCTTAACCCTCTTTGCGTTTTTGTTCTCGTCTTTCTCTTTTTATTACTTTACTTCCTCTTTCTTTCTCCCTACCCACCGTCTTCATTCGTCGTTTCTTATATATTTTTGATTTTCTTTTTCATGCGTCCTTTTTGGCTCTCTTTTTTCCCCACTGTGACGCCACATGGAAACACTTTGCAAAGGTCATACTTACGGACGTCACGTATCGATTAAAATCAAGACCACCAAGCGTTGTCCGGGATTTTCTCTATTCAATAGTCTCGATAGTCTAAATAGAAATAGTCATAGATATGATATTTTATTCCTAGCTATCTTAGAAACGACCTACGGGCGGCTTTTAAGCCAGTTCCAGATTGGACCTTCATCACAATAGGTAGGGAGGAGTAGATGTGATAAACTACAGAAGATCTCAGAATTGATCTCTTCATTTCAGTATCGCATTAATATTGAAGCTTACCTTTTAAAAGTTCAACAATAATTCTTCTGTCACCACTTAATTTAAAGACGATTTGATGGACGTAGGTCCTTACTTTCCGTACAAACAATTTATTTTTATTTCATGGGTGACTTTAGCAATTAATTTCGATTATTCACAAATTTATTTCCAAGATATAAGAATTATTATTATATAAAAAATTTGTCGCAAAATTTCATGTAAAAAATCGCCGAAAACAATCACAGCAATGAAAAATTGGGAATCCAAAATTTAAAGATTGCGGACACGGATCGCGCCCGGATGCAGTCCGGAATGTCTTTATTTTGTTCACGGAGTCGGTCTGATTCCAAAATGGTATGATATTCACGGCTACGGCCTCTAGGAGTATAGTTGAAAACGCGGAACATTTTATTTTGAATCATTGTAATTTACGAACAGTATTTTTTTTCATTTGAACATGAGCTATTGAAAGATTGAGAGTTGTGTCCCTTTAATTGTTTTTTTTTTTATCAGTAGAAGGCAGTATAACCGAATCTGAAAATAATCGCAGTAATGAAAACTTAGGAATCCAAAATTTTAGAATTGCGGGTCCGGATCCAATCCGGGATGCTTTTAAGTTTCTCATGGAGCCAGCCCGATTCAAAAATTGTAATATGCGTTGGGTTACGACCTCAAGGAGAAAAGTTGAAAAAGTGTGACACTGGTATTCACATTTATTGTATAGATTGTTTTGAAAAGTGTGCTAATATGTGTGCTTTGCCCTCAGAGGGTTCGTTTGGCTCGAATGCCAGCTGGGTCTAAAGTCCACTAACGCCCTCAAATGACGTATATTCCGTGACATTGCAACAAATACTGGAAGAATGACTGGTAGCTTTTATCGCTACCCGAGAAAATACCTAACTTCTGCTACCATGCTCTATCTTTACAAGAATCAGTTCAGACCAAGAACGGAGAATTACTGTCAGATCTGGGCTGGTGCAGCCCAGTCGTTAGTGTCCCACCAGTGAAAAGTGCAGGGAATGAAATGGTTAGCATAGAACACGGTTACATCTTACGAAATTTAATTGTAAAATTGCCATCAATATAGTACTGTGCTTAAATTCATAAACGCTATCAAAGAGGAAAATTCATGAAAACATTTACTATGAATTCATAGAAAAGTCATAATGAAGCTACGTTACCTTAGTAAGTATATGATGGATCCCGACATGCTAGGTCCGGACCAATAATGTTCAGTTCAATATCACTTACGCGTCTTTGTTTTGTGGAGAATTATTCTCCAACATTGCAAACCTTATACCACAGATGAAACGTTGCTAGGCTATCAATACTCTAACGCTAGATTCTTAGTTCGTTAGGTTCCGATCTTTCACCTTTAGAACCCGCGTTCATGGTGGCAAACCATCGCCACTTTCTTTCGTGTTCCTTTGATAAAAAGCAAGTGCCACTCAAGCAGCTATTTCCTCAGTTCTGTTACATTGTAATAGAAACTCCCGGGACATTGCTTCCCTGACAACTACAATTTCGAACCGAACCTTCCGAACCGTTTTATTTCGCCCACCCGTGTAGATTGGTCTAGTTCCACGTACCATGCCTCTTTCGGAAGTCTCAGTTATTTCTTTTTAACTCAACTCTCCAACTTTTTTGTACACCAATGCTGTAGCCTGGTATTGAACTTACAACTCTTTGGGGATAGTTAGTGGATCTAACCAACGTCTTTATCCACTGGGCAAAGTGATCATTGGACGAAATAAAGGGTCCGGTTAGAAATTCCAATCACCTGAAGAAGATCGGAGCGTACAACGAGCGAAACGTTGTGAATATGGCAATGAAGATGAGGATAACAGTCCGAATAATGTAAATAACGTAAGGAATCATAATACCTCATCTCAAAGATATATATATATATATATATTTATTTTTTAAGCGTTTCACCCCAGGCAAGGCGGAAAGCCACTAGGACGCAAGGGGTTACAGAAAATTTGGAGCAAGATCAGATAGGAGTGATAGAAGAAAGGATGAGGAGAAGGGTAGTGGATAGATCAAGGCAACTGGAGATGTCGATTGACATTACATTTGAATAGCTGGAGATTATAGCTCTCAGGGAAACTGGAATAGGGAAGGGAGTTCCACAGGCGAGAGGTGCGAGCTATTGGAGTAGAAGAGACGGCTACATTTAGGAGTTTCGACAGTGAAAGGGTGAGAGCGGGATGCCAGCCTCGTAGGGCGCTTGAACTCATGAAGTCTGGGAACCAGCGAATGCAGCTCCTCGGAGCAATTGCCATGAAAGTATTTGTAAAACAGACAGAGAGAGGCTACGGTGCGTCTGTGAGAAAGTGGCTGTAGACGAGATGCCAGAGCAGGGCCAATTATATTGCATATCTGCCTCAACAAGAACCCCGAGACAAACAGAAGGGGCTCCAGACCATATATGGCAGCAGTACTCCATGCAAGGGTGAATTGTTGATTTGTAAAATAGACACATATTGAAGGTATGGTATGTGGAACTAGATCAATTTACCCGGGTGGACGAAATAAAGGGTTTGATCCGAAATTACAAGCACCTGTTTAATCAGATTTTCTTAAATCTGTAGGGAATTGTTTAAGCAGATGAAAAAATAATAAGTTTCTTGAATTAATAATCATTATTATTCCGAGTCCATAAGGATGATCCTGCGATGTGAGATGATTAGGATCTCTAGTTGTTTTCCAAAAAAGAGTAGAAGGCAAATAGGTCGATAGTGCGAAGTGTCAGGACGGTTAACCTGGGTATTTAAAGATTGAAACAGCAGCAAAGGATTTCGAAAAGCAGGAAAGAAAGAGACAGTAATGAATTTTGGTAGACTTTGGAGAGAACATAAGCCAGTTCAGAAGCACATTTCATAAGAACTATTACATCGATACTATCAGGTCCACATGCTCTGTGGGGATCCTATTTAGAGGTGATAGCAGAAAGGAATGGAAGGGTTATATGCATATCATTTAGCAGAGATTTAGTTCTAATTGGAAAGTCAGGCAAGGATGCTCCAGACTCTTTTATTTTCTCTCTTTAGTAATGTTTCTCTTTGTATATTCTTTCACACTCAGTGACCTCACGAGTCTTAGGGGCTTTACTGCCTTGCATGAGTGATGATTAGAAACTCATGTGAAAATCATGTTTTTCTTAAGGTACCTATGTCCAGAGTAGGAAAATCAAGTAGACGTAAGCACAGAGATTTACTAAGCGTAGCTTAGACGTGGCACAAGGCCGAAAGTGCGGAGCACCCAGTGAGAATCGGAATCACTACTCTGTAGTAATTAATCTAGCAAAACAAGCTCGTTAACCATTACACTACATCGATGTGCCCTCAAATGACATTCTAAGTGTAGTTTAGATGTTGTCCAAAGCAGAAGGTATGTGGCACCCAGTGAGAATCGAACTCCCTACACAGTCATAATTGATCTAGCGAG